ACTTGGAGTTGACAGACAATAAATTGATCATTAGCACATAAATAGTTGTTCTTTTATATTTAGAGTGAAGGCAAAATCCTATTATACTGGATACTCTTGCTGGTTATTTAATCAGCTTTTTAACTTTTAAATAATTTGATAGACTTTACCGTAGAAAAAGGGCACAGATATTTGCTGCTGTTTGGGGTTCTGTGTGGATCCTGTTTTAGACCTATCATTCCAAACTGCCATCTTCATGCACTGTCAGAACATGGCTACACACTGCACTGTGGGTCATCTGCCTGAGCTTCAACTGTCATCTTCAATAAGTAGCTTATTGTTGTAACAACATGCATCCTTTTTTTCCCTTCCTTCCTCCCTTCCTCCTAAAAAGCGATTTTTGAATTCCTGATATGATACACATGCATTTTTATATGCTTGCTGTAGATAAACAACATAGTTAGGGAAGGGGACAATTTTAAATAAAGTGGTCAGGGAAGGCTTTACTAAGTAGGTAACATTCAAACAGAGATCTGATATCTCTAGGGGAAAAGTGCTCCAGGTAGAGGGAACAGCAGGGGTGAAGGGAGACCTTGGTTATGTGTTTTCAAGGAACAGCAAAGAGGCCAAGGGGTTTGAAGCAGAGAGAGGAAGAAAGCAGTCAGCAATGAAGTCAAAGATATAACAGCCTGTTTGCATGAGCGTGGGAGGCACGTGCTTCACTATGTACAAATAATCTCAATGCAGTAAAGGTTAGAATGTAGGGTAATTTAATCTGACAGTAATTCAGCATCTTCTCTTAACTTAAATAAGGTGTTCTATTGAATTTTCATTGCCAATTTGTCCACAGTGATGCCAATTATAAACTCTTACTTTAGCTTTTCTTTTTTGTTTTTTGAGACAGAGTCTCGCTCTGTCACCCAGGCTGGAGTGCAGTGGCGCAATCTCAGTTCACTGCAACCTCTGCCTCCCAGGTTCAAGCGATTCTCCTTAGCTGGGACTACAGGCATGTGCCACCACGCCCAGCTATTTTTTTTTTTTTTTTTGTATTTTTAGTAGAGACAGGGTTTCGCCATATTGGCCAGGCTGCTCTTGAACTCCTGACCTCATGATCCGCCTGCCTTGGCCTCCCAAAATGCTGAGATTACAGGTGTGACCACCGCACCCAGCTGGCTTTTCATTTCTTGAAGAGACTGGAACAACAAATCTTCATAGATCTAAACTAACTTATATTTTAAAATATAAAACTGTGTGTCTTGCCAACAGAATTTTTTTTTTTTTTTTTGAGACAGAGTCTCACTCTGTCACCTAGAAGTGCAGTGGTGCTATCTTGGCTCACTGCAACCTCTGCCTCCTAGGGTCAAGTGATTCTCCTACCTCAGCCTCTGAGAAGCTGGGATTACAGGCACCCACCACCACGCCCGGGTAATTTTTGTATTTTTAGTAATGGGGTTTTGCCATGTTGGCCAGGCTGGTGTTGAACTCCTGGCCTCAAGTGATCTACCTCCTTGGCCTCCCAAAATGTTGGGATTACAGGCATGAGCCACCGCGCCTGGCCACCAACAGATTTTTTAACCCAGAATTTGACAGTAAATAAGTGTTACATCTTTTAAAACAAACACCTTCAAAGAAATACATTAATGGAGAAATATTAAACATATCATTTTTCTTAAAGTATATCAACACCTAGAAACAATAAAGGGTACATGATGAATATGTATAAAAATAAGTAACTCAAAGCTTTACTTGAAATAGAAAAGTCTAACTATAAGTTATTTTTAAGTGTACATCAATGGAAACAAACCATAAATTTGCTGATTATAATACCATTTTATGTATTGCAAGAATATACAGCTTCAAAGTCTTCTGGTTTAAATTCCTAAATAACTACAGGGTAACTAAATATGTTCAGGATCCTTCAGGCACAAAAATCAACTATTTAAAGTCACCTGGAACAAATAAATAAGTAATCATACCACATTTCTGTTGTTTTTAAATTTATCATGGTTTTGCTTATAAAGGTATTGACTCATTGGGTTAACTCTGTAAGGTTATAAGATGATATCTGATTTATACTTGCTATATTTATGACTACCTATATACATTTGAACAATCTGAGTTACAAATAATCATGCTGACAAATTCAGGTTTCCCCACTACCACTGAAATGATCAGAGTCTAAGCTGAAAAAAAAAATCCGTATTCATACATTTTAATCAAGGTTCAGTAGGGAAGAAGGGAAGAAAAAGTAAAACTGCAAACAAAATGTTAAATACTATACTCCATTTCCTCTGAAATATTTGTCTTTGAATTATTATGTTGGTCTAAATTTTGCCTCCAAAAATCTAAGAAAAATATTGTTTGGGTTTTCCAAAAATCTACATGCTTCTTGAGTTTTTTATTCAAATATTATGTAATCAGAAACCTATTTTAAAGCACAAAATTAGAAAAACATTAAAAAATTATTAACTTCAATTAATCTCAGATAAATAGAATTGTATTGTATGCTCCACTGCCTTTGTTCTACTCATCTTTTTCAGTTTGTTGTTTAAAGCCTCTATATTTGTTTTCAATGTTTAAAAAAGACATACTGTTTTCATTTTCCCTTTCCTTTAAAAAATGGCAGAATAATCTATTTAAAAACAAAGAGGCAAAAACTCCTTGAAATATTTTTCCTCTCATTTAAAACGGACCTATATTTGGTGTACATATCTTTTAAGTTTACAATATGTGAGAAAGAGGATCGTAATGATAAAGATCCTTTTTAAAAATAACCAGGAATGACAGAGCGATTTATCTCCATGGGAAGTGCAATAAACATATTGTATAGTATATACGACCTTATGTTTTACTTGGTGCCCCTAAAAGACTGAATTATATTCGTTATCTATTTTAATACAGTGAACTACAATTTAAGATTAAAACAAACTTGAGGCTCAAAGCACTTCTGTAGAAGATACAAAAGACAAATGTTTGAATCTTACCGAGGTCACTACAAGCAACTACTAAGTATATAAACCACAGACACAAATAATACACAATCCAGGCCAGGTTCAGTGGCTCACACCGTAATCCGAGCACTTTGGGAGACCAAAGTGGGTGGATCACTTGCCGTCAGGAGCTCGAGACCAGCCTGACCAGCATGGTTAAACCCCTTCTCTACCAAAAAAATACAAACTTAGCTGGGCATGGTGGCACATGCCTGTAATCCCGGCTACTTGGGAGGCTGATGCAGGAGAATCGCTTGAACCTGGGAGGCAGAGGTTGCAGTGAGCCAAGATCACGCCACTGCACTCCAGCCTGGGCAGTAAGAGCAAAACTCTGTCTCAAATAATAATAATATCATTAAGAGCAAAACTCCATCTCAAATAATAATAATAATACACGATCTATTATTAACAAATTCTATCAAGGCTTCATGTGACATTTAATGGCTGAAAACTAAACAGGACTCAGCAAAATAAAATGTATTTAAATACATGCTTTCTTGTGAAAGAAGGCTCATCCAGTGATACTGACCATAGAGAGAAACTATACATCACTCTCATATTTAAGAGGGTTCTGCCTGCCTTGGTTGGCTTCAAAGAGCTCACTGTAAGTTGATTATATTTAGACTGGTTCTCAGCAGAAGCAAAGAGTTCATAACATCACAAGTGATGGCATCTTGTCAGGGTGTAAGCAATCTCAAAACATAACTTGCATTTATCACTTCTACTTTTTGCTCATGACAGCACATGAAAGCCTGCCTTCTCAAATGCACAGATGTGCTCAATATGCACTTTCCATCTATGCTTGCTCTCTATAATGTGTATTTAAGAAGAGCTCAAGACTTTTAAAAATAAAATCTACATGGCAATGGTATCTTCTAAGTCATGAAAAACTATTTGGAAACTATCAGGCCAGGCACGGTGGTTGACGCCTGTAATCCTAGCACTTGGGAGGCTGAGGCGGGAGTTTGAGATCAGCCTGGGCAACATGGCAAGACTCCTGTCTCTACAAAAAAAAAAAAAAATTAGCCAGAGGTGGTGGCGCACAGCTGTAGTCTCAGTCACTCAGGAGACTGAGGTGGGAGGATTGCTTGAGCCCAGGAGGTAGAGGCTGCAGTGCATTGTGTTCATGCCACTCCACTCTAGCCTGGGTGACAGAGCAAGACCCTGTCTCGAAAAAAAAAAGAAAAGAAACGAAACTGTGCTAATTAATTAAGTATACCTTATTCTGAAGAAAAAATCAAAATCTTTAAGCAAATTTACAATGTACAGAGCTCAGTCCTGCAAATATGGAGACATTAAAGAAAAAAGAACCTATTCAAAGGCCAAAGATAAAACTGTAAATGACTGTGGGTTTCCTAAAAGTATATTTAAAGTTTCTTACAAAACCATAACCCTTCTCCCCTAAAAAATATGTTCTCTGGTAGAATACTGAAGTAGAAAACAGACCACTGAACAATGATCTCACAGTATCAAACATTTTCTCAAACAATTATGACATAGGATCAAAAAACAGAATGCTAGGCACCCAGGATAAAAAGCACAAAATGTAAGAGAATAGATCACCTATTCAAAGAACCAAAGCTCACAAGAATGTATGAGAGAACATCTATACATTAAAGAAAGAAAGAAAGAAAGAAAGAAAGAAAGAAAGAAAGAAAGAGAAAGAAAGAAAGAAAAAAAGAAAGAAAAAAGAAAGAAATGCAGATAATCGAATTGAAAAAAACAAAATGAGGCCGGACGCAGTGACTCACGCCTGTAATCCCAGCATTTAGGAAGGCCAAGGTGGGTGGGTCACCTGAGGTCAGGAGTTCAAGACCAGCCTGGCCTACATGGTGAAACTCCGTTTCTATTAAAACTACAAAAATTAGCCAGGCATGGTGGCAGGCACCTATAATCCCAGCTACTTGGGAGACTGAGGCAGGAGAATCGCTTGAACCCAGGAGGCAGAGGTTGCAGTGAGCCGAGATTGTGCCACTGCACTCTAGCCTGGGTGACAACAGCCAAATTATATCTCAAATAAAAAAAAAAAAAGAAGAAGAAGAAGAAGAAAGAAGAGGAAGAAAACAAAATGAAAAGTGTATATTTTTCATAAGAGAACACAGGAATTTTGTGAATAGTGTAGCCACTATATAAATATTGTATAAACCTTCAGATACTGGTTATCTCTTTTGGGAGATTTAAGGTATTCATTTTTAATCTTAAAAAGATTCTTTAAAAAGAAATTTACTTCCCTCTGAAATAGTAAGTTAAGTAGCACTTCAAGCTTTTCCTTAATAAAAACCGTTGCTGGAACAGAAAAATAGGCTTATTAATTAAATGATTCTCTCCATGCTCTAAATACACATTTTAAATGTACACCTTTTTCTTCTACAGAAAACAATGATTACTAATAATTTGTTGTTTTCCCTTAGCAATTTAAAAAAGCATTTAACCACACATTATAATAACAAAGAGAAAGTAATGACATTTGAAATTTACTTATACAGTAGGTCAGGACATTCAAATTGACCTCCATTTATGCATAAAAAAGGCAAGAGAAAAAAGGGAGTTTTGCTACTCTCCAAAGAAGGGAAAAGATGGCTATAGAAGCCAGTTCAGAAACTACAGTTGTCCATTGTCTGCTATAAGGCAACTCAAGAACTGTTCTCCTGTATTCTGTCACACTTATTGCTTTCTTTGCCCTCTTGATATGTACGAAGCTGCTCCATGAAGCCAGAGTTTGGACATATGGAAGGTCTTGCATTTTTCACCAAAGAAAAAGCACTGGTAAATGAGGTTTGTTCAGAATTCATCAGGAAGCCTATTACAATTGCAGCAGCCCTGGAAACTCCTGCATTACAATGAACAAGAACCACTCCATCCTAAAAAAAAAAAAAAAAAAAAAAAAAATCTTCATTATTTATTTGAGAAAGATTATTAAATCAATTGCACATTCTTATACTACTTGAAATTATAAAGTAAATATTCAATTTTATCAATTTATTTGATTCAACTTATTTGATTACTGAAATAAAATTCATTACCCTCAACAAATGGAAACTCAATCAGTCAATCAATCAATTAACCTATACCTCCCTTACCTACTAACCCATGATTGAAATGCTTTAATGATGTTTGGAATTCTGAAACCGTATCTTTCATTAAACTAAAGTAATCCAGTAAAGAACACATTAAAACCTAACAACTTAGTAGCCAAATGTTTCGGTAAAGTACACATAAAACCTAACAACTTAGTAGACAAGTGTATACAAATAAGAAAAAAAACACAGGAAATATATGTGAAAACATAAAATCATAACTATAAACTAAACAGAAAGCCAGAAATACTCCAGAGTATACTTAGTGTTCTCATAAATAAGCTAGTGTCAGTGGCTTGCAAATCTGTTTAAATAATCAGCAAGGAAAAAATGTTCCACCCTTGGACATATTTTATTCTGGGAGGAAGTTACTTAAAAATATTTACACTTATGAGGTAGTAAAATGTGACACAAATAGTTCATAACACTGTGAAGTGGAAAAGGTAATCAGACACCAGCATGAGGTCAATAAATGAAAAAACGTTTCAGGTAACTTGCAAATGATACTTTCCAAGTGAAAAGAGACACAGCGCAAGACCAGTGCTGATGGGGGCAATATTGTATTAATAATGAATGTGATAGATCTGATGGGACAGCATTGATACAGCTTGGCCCATCTGAAGCCTTTAAAAAGTTAATGATCTAAATTGAAACATGGTGAACCGTGAGCATACCCTCCAGAATTAGACATTTTAGTTACTTCATTTCCTGATTCTTTATTTGGTACAACACAAAAAACGATGAGAGCAGGAGGAAAAAAATATGCTACCAAAAACCCTCTACCCAGAGCACATATTAACAATACTACTGTTATGACTCATCAGATTATTTTACTTCTGCAAGGCAGTTTTCTGATTCATACATCTGTTGCAAAACTCTTTTCCTTGATCTGCTGTAACAAACTTGCAAGTGCATCTCTTTTCAAGAAAGCCAAATTTTTAATAACAAAATTAGTTAACATTTTGAAAATCCTCATATAAAAAAGGACAATATCAATTGCTTTCTTTTTTCACATCTTACATTACTATGGGATATACCGTTTTCTATAGATATTTATGACTCCTTTTCAAACTTCGACAGTTTCTATATAAGAAAAGCAAAACACAAATATTCACTATACACCTTGGAAACTTTTCTCATTTTGTAGCAATAGCCCATTTTTACAAAACTTAAGATGTTTAAAAATTATATTAAGGTAACTGATGAAAATTATTAATGAACTTCATTTAGCACAAAACAAATTAATTAGATACTCCAAAGAAACTTGCAATCATAAGCTTAATAAGCAAGAGATACTCTTCAATGTCACTTTTAATATTTCCTGCTTATATACTAGTCGGCTTTACTTTATGATCCATACATAGGCTTTTGAACATGAAACTAGTTTTATTTTCAGTCTTACACAATGTGCATCCAATTTTAGCTAATGTTTTAAAATGATATTATTTTCTTCTTCTTTCTACTTTATATAATAGCTGTTTTTCTACAGCTTTTCAATTTACCTACTTTCTACCTTTTGATTATTCGTTAGATATCATATTGTCCTTGAAAGTATTTCCAGAGAAATTATTGGCTTTGTATCCCTTTTTCAGAGCTCAAAACAGTAACAAACAATTTATAAAGCATTTTTTTTTCTTTGCATTTGCTGTTGTCCTATGCCTAGAAGACCTTTGCTCTTCTTGGTACAGCTAATTCTGACTTCTGTTCTAAGACTGCCTCTTTCCAAGTGAAATGAAGACAGGAGGAATGTCTTGGCCATCTTTGTATGCCTAGTAGTTAGTGCAATTCTTGGCATACAGTAGGTATTCCGTAACTGTTTGCTAAGTGAATAAATTTGTTCTGCATTTCTGAAAGGAAAGTGTTCTTTCAAAAATTCAAAATCACCATTTTGCTATGGGCAAGTAGTAACTTATAGGCAGATAGTAATTATGCTATGTTATTTCCATTTCACAGAGTTGTCTTTGTTCTTGTGCCGTTACAGTTTTCAACTAGATCGCAAGCTCCTGGAAGGCAGCAATGTGTATCCCTCACATCTTCTCAGAATAAGTAATTAATATTCCTTAACGGTAACTGAGCCAAGCCCAGGTGTTTTTCCTTACATTTAACTTCCATTAAAACTTTAGCATCTCCAGGCACAGTGGCTCACACCTGTAATCCCAGCACTTTGGGAAGCTGAGGCAGGTGGATCACAGGTCAGGAGTTTGAGACCAGCCTGGCCAACATGGTGAAACCCCATCTTTACTAAAAATACAAAAATTAGCTGGGCATGGTGGTGGGTGCCTGTAATCCCAGCTATTTGGGAGGCTGATGCAGGAGAATCGCTTGAACTCAGGAGGCAGAGGTTGCAGTGAGCTGAGATCGTGCCACTGCACTCCAGCCTGGTTGATGAGTGAGACTCTGTCTCAAAACAAACAAACAAACAAACAAAAACAAAAACAAAAACTTGGGCATAAGCACTACTCATAATAGCAAAGACATGGAATCAACTCAATGCCGATCAATGATAGTCTGTATAATGAAAATGTGGTACATATACCCCATGGAATACTATACAGCCATAAAAGGAATGAAGGGACATAGATGGAGTTGGAGCCATTATCCTTAGCAAACTAACACAGGAACAGAAAACCAAAGACCACATATCTCACTTATAGGTGGAAGCTGAACAATGTGAACACATAGACACATGGAAGGGAACAACACAAACCGGGGGCCTGTCAGGGTGGGGTGGGGTAGGAGGAGGGAGAGCATCAGGAAAAATAACTAATGCATGCTGGGCTTAATACCTAGGTGATGGGTTGATAGGTGCAGCAAATCCCCATGGCACACATTTACCAATGTAACAAACCTGCACATCCTGTACATGTGCCCCAGAACTTAAAAAAACCTTGGGTATAATGTGATAGTCTGCAAGTGCCTGACAGCCACCTATGATTAAGTAAGAATTCTGCAGTGGAATGAAAATCAACTGTCACTAAAAATATACTCCTTAGTTCAGCGTTTGGGTGGGGTGGGGGAGTAGCCAAAATCTCTCAAAGAACTAAGCAATGTCTTGGTTTATATTCAGGCACAACCTTCTTATCCTGCAGAGATGTGGTAGCAAACCGGACAACACTATGAGGAGCACAGGTTACAACAGTCCACTCATGACTATCCACAGTAGTAGAGGTGAATGTAAATATGACAAACACAAAAAAAGTGATGGGTAGGCTGCTTTGAAACAAACTGGAAGAAGTAAGGCAAGAGAATTAGGGTCTGGCAGCAGGGAACCTAAGGCTGTTTCACGCAGACTTCCTAGAACTAAATTCAAAGGAAAACCCTAACTTTCCACACCTAAGTAACAAAAGGACCAGAGGGCTACTGCCTTTGCAAACCCCCCACTTTTTCTGCATGCAGATGGGAAATTTGCTGTCCACAACCAATCATACTGATTGCAGGCCAAGTCTTCGTTTGCATAGAAGTGTAACTTTGTAACTTCACCCTAGCCTCTCATTGGTTGCTTTTTGCAACCAATCAGATGTTTGCACAGGAGCCTGACCTTTGTAACTTCACTTCAGCCTCTGGTTGGCTGCTTTCTCTAACCAATCAGACTGATTGCAGGATACCACTTCCTTTACATGAGGTGAGCATGAAGCGGCCATTGGGAAACTTCCAGCGGATATTTGGACTCAAGAAGTTTCTGTATCCTGTCCCTTGGGCCGCTGCTTGGGCCTGCTCCCAAACTGTGGAGTGTGCTTTCGCTTTTAATAAATCCCTGCTTTCACTCTTTCGCTTCATTCTTTCTTTGCTTCGATGGGCGTTCTGTCCAATTCTTTGTTCAAAATGCCAAGAACCTGGACAACTTGCAGTCATGACCCTCTATTGGTAACAGAAGCATCTAAAAACTCAGTGAATTTAGGTACTTATTTAGACCCATAATGTTTCTCTAACGAACTTTTACTTATATTGAACAAAAAACTACAAACAGCTTACATGTCTCACAGTAGGAAATAAGATAAATTATAGAATCACCAACTACCATAATACTGTGCAAAAATTTTAAATGATTTGAATCATTAAGTATAAAAAGCAGGCTATACAGAGGGGACCAGGGCCTGAGATGGGACCAGGAAGGAACTGAGGACCAAGAAGTGCAAATATCAGCATCCAGGACCAGAGTGGCTACCCGAAGGTCCGGATCTCACGTGTGATGTCACCCTGTCAGTCCTCCCCTCCTGAGCAGGGATCCAAGAATGTGCCAAGAGTCCTGCTGGCCTCAGCCAGGTGGGCCTGTACATAGGGACCATGTGCAATAGGGAGGGACATCTTCTATTTTTTGCTGCCCCCTCCCAGCCCACTGTCTGGGGCAGGGGGAGAAGGTATTTTCAAGATAAAGCACAGGTACCACAAATAAAAGTCATGAAGTTGCAAAAAAAAAAAAAAAAGGCAGGCTATAAAAAAAAGGCAGGCTATAAAAGAATATAAACTGTATGATACTATTTTTATAAAAATATATATACAGGTCTAGAAAAATATATCAAAATGCTAACAATGGTTATATCTAAGTGTGGAAGTATCTTAATTTTTTCCATTTTTTTCTACAAAGAACATGGACTACTTACATCATGTTTTTAAAATCGTATCTTATAAATAACAAACATAAAATATCAAATATACATTGTCATACTTTGTACCTTTTGCGCGTAAAAAGAGGGGACAAATAAATTTAGTTTCTAAAAGGACTCTGGGCTATAAAAGTTACCATTACTATTCCTCTCAGGTGTATTTCTGTCCCTTTAGGCATAAAGGAAGGACAGAGAAACCAAACAGAGTTTTGCAAGTATAGAGGGAAATGAGGAAGGACTTGGGAAATGGAAACCATTCCACTTGGCAATGGTATGTAAAAAGATAAAAACAACTAACTAGGCCTAGAAAGGTAGTTTTGAAACATGTAATTCACTGAGTAATTAAATTTAACAATATTTGAATATAAAATAGACAAAGGCATGAAGAGATCTTTTCTAAAACAAATGAAAAAAATTCAAGAATTCTATTGCTAAAACTAAATATATATTAGCCTTCCAGGCATGATGGCTCATGCCTATAATCCCAGCACTTTGGGAGGCTGAGGCAGGTGGATCAATTAACATCAGGCACTTGAGACTATCCTGGCCAACATGGCAAAACCCCGTCTCTACTAAAAATACAAAAATTAACCAAGCGTGGTGGCACACACCTGTAATCCCAGCTACTACGGAGGCTGAGGCAGGAGAATCACTTGAGCCCAGGAGGCGGAGTTGCAGCAAGCTGAGATTGTGTCAATGCACTGAGTTTTCAGGGCAGGCAAATACTGGCTGACGTTAGGATCCCAGTATAAAACATAAAGCTTGAGAGGGTAGAACATATTGCTGAAATCTAATTCATCTTATCCGAAACATTTTCTGCAACTCCTCAGATTCTTGTGGTGCCACCATCTCACAGACCCTCTCAGCACACTCCACCTCAGGTACCACCTCCATGGCTGACTGCTCTCCCCTTAGGTCCATTCACTTTTGCCTGTCAAAGAAGGAGCTCTTCTTCAATGGTGTCCACAGCATAGACAGGCGTACTCTGAGTCCTGGATTTTCTATTTTTCAACTTGGTTGAAAAGTTGTATTACAGGGTGTTAGATTTGGCTTTGAGATGGCCGCTGAAGGAGTGGAATGTTATAACCCAGAATTGTGGGGTTGGTTATATCCCCACTGGCAAACTTTGACCAATGGGAAACAGAAGCTGACAGGAAACCAGGCAGATAAATTCTCTCTCCTTCCTCCCTCCCAGGCTGGGTTGAGGTACAGTTTCTTGGTACTGCCTGTCCAGAGATATTTTGGGTGGTAGGGTAGCTATACCTGCTGAATAGCCAACAGTCAGCTCACTGTGCAATGAGCCCAGCAGGGTAAATGCATCACTTTGTATTCCTTCTCGTCCCACCTTGAATCACTTTCCTTTCTTGCCACTCTCACTGCCTACAGATTGTACCTCTCAAATTAAGCATCAGCTCTAAATCCTCATCTCAAGCTTTGTTTTTAGGAAACCCAAGCTAAAATCCACTCTAATTTACTGGCCCAAATTAAGGCAAACTTTATTTTTAAATTTATTTAAAATTCCACGCTTATTAGAATATTCAATCTCTTGCTTTTCTTTCTAGATAGTATTACCCTGTCTAATTTTTACTTGCAATATTTACATCTCTTCTAATGTTAATATGAATATGGATGATATCTACACTTTCCCATCTCTGGCATATCCTACATCTCCTTAAAGAAGGAGCTAATACAGAAATATCATTTTTATTTTTAAAACTATTAACTCACACACTGGAATGTTACAATCCAGAGCCTGTAAATTTTTTCACAAGAAAACAGAATGGCCAATATTAGGCTTTGAATTAGAAGACCTCTTCCTTGGCCACGTGCAGTGGCTCACGCCTGTAATCCTAGCACTTTGGGAGGCCCCGGCGGGCAGTCTGCCTGAGCTCAGGAGTTCGAGACCAGCCTGGGCAATACAGTGAAACCCCGTCTCTACTAAAATACAAAAAATTAGCCAGGTGTGGTGGTGTGCACCTGTAGTCCCAGCTACTTGGCAGGCTGAGGCAGGAGAATCACTTGAACCCGGGAGGTGGAGGTTGCAGTGAGCCGGAGTTTGCAGTGTGCCGAGATCATGCCACTGTACTCCAGTCTCACAACAGAGCAAGACTCCGTCTCAAAAAAAAAAAAAAACCACAAAAAACAAACAAACAAAAACCCTCTTCCTTTGCTTCCATTCAAATACAGTCATGCATCATTTAACAGTGGTGATGCATTCTGAGAAATGTGTTGTTAGGCAGTTTCTTTGTGCTGTAAACATCACAGAGTGGACTCACACAAACTAGAATGGTATGGCCTATTGCTCCAAGGCTACAGACCTGTTCAGCATGTTACTGTACTAACTTGTAGGCAACTGTAACACAATGGTATGTATTTGTGTATCTAAACATACCTAAACATAGAAAAGGTATGGTAAAAATATATTATTATAATCTTATGGAACCACCATCATATATGCAGTCCAAACATCATTATGCAGCGCATGACTGTATCTGCTATTAAAGTTGATGAACAGTAGAATGGAATAGTTTTATATTTTCCAGGTAGTCTAGTGGAAAGGTAAGTAGAACAGTGCTAGGCACCTAAGGCATTCAATAAATATTACCAAATGAAAGGAAAGAAGGGAGAGAGGGAGAGAAAATGGGAAGGAGAGAAGGTAGAAGGGAGAGAAGGTAGGCCAGAGTTCGATTAGACCTGATTGTAATCTTGTCATTGTTAGGTGTTCCAGAAGAGTTATTTCTCTCTGTAAATGCTTCTACTTTCCCACCTACGTATCTTACGTAAAATCTGTGAGAATTATTTGCTGACTAAAAATGACGCTATTTCAAGGAATAATTATTGATAACAGCCAACCTAGAAACTTTGCCTGTCAGAATGTTGACTTGAATCCAATAACAAGATTGAAGTACTATATGGCATTGGCCATTGGTCTTCTAACTTCAGAAAACCAACAGACAGCTTCTGATCAGCATTTTCATACAATCTAAGTAAAGCAATACACATTTAGTCCTTAGAGTGCCTTAAAATTTTACTGCTAAAAATGCAGTTTCACAATAACTATCTCATTCATTAAAATGAAATGCATGTTAATCATCATAAATACACTAACAAGTCTAGAGCAGTCTCTGTTTTATAGTCCCCCTGAATATCTTGCAGACTGGTCAGAGGTCAGGTGGCTATAAACCCTCAAAGGAAATCTAACTACATGTTTACAGACGAAAACTCAGTAAGTAGAGGATTTTTATCTCTGAACATTTCTCAGTAAGGCATAGGAAAATGAGAAACTGAATTAATGTTAAAACTAAGTATCTTATTGAAAAAAGAGCAATTAACCAAATAATTGTAGGAAATAATGAAACATTGTTAGAAGGGAAATTTCATAATGGTTTTTTAGAGATTCATTATAAAAACAATAAAGATTGGGTAATGGATCCATACTTTCAAATTTCTGCTTCTGAAGAACTATGGATCAAAACAAAACTCACCTTTCTTTTTGCTTCTTCAATAAATTCAAAACATTCTGGAAAATAAGACAGGATGTTGGTTTCAGGCAGATCCAATATAGAAATGCTCTTATATGTAAAGTCACTGAGGAAAGCATTTTCAACTCCATATGCAACATTAAGAATATGAGTCACCTTAAAGAGAAAGAAAAAAGATGATTTTTTAAAATCCCATGAATTAGGTTATCTTAAAAGAGACTGGGGTGTTGGGTTGACATCTATAACAAGAAAGGTAAAAAATTTAAATGCGACTCACTTGATTGATAATACTTCTTCAACCCACACCAGAAGTGCTCCTTCTACTATATGTTCTCTCTCTCTCTCCCCCGCACCCTTTTTTTTAACTTATTATCATCATCATGTAGAGACAGGGTCTCTTTCTGTCACCCAGGCTGGAGTGCAATGATGCAATCATAGGTCACTGCAATCTTGAACTCCTGGGCTCAGGTGATCCTCCCGCCTCAGCCGCCCAAGTAGCTGGGACTACAGGAGTGTACCACCACACTCAGCTAATTTTTTTTTTTTTCAGAGAGGGGTCTCGCTTTTTTTGCCCAGGCTGGTCTTGAACTCCTGGCCTCAAGTGACGTTCCCACTTCCGCCTCCCACAGTGCTGGGATTACAGGCGTGAGCCACCACACCTGGACTATATATTCTCATAGCCCTGGACTTGCCCTATTACAGCTCATACCACTTAGAGATTATTTGTCTCATTCATTGCACTAGAAACTACATGAGGGTAGGGACCATGTTTAACTTAGTATTATAAGTGAATGAGCAGTGAGTTTAACAGAAAATGCTTAAAATCTTTGTTGAATTAATCTGTGAATATCCATATAAAAAACTTAAATAGGAGAAGTATATCAGTAGTACACAACTTCCCTTTCAAGAATTATTTCCCTATTTTCCTTCATATTCTTTACTTAATGAAATGGTTCTCCAGGATGACTGCACATTAGAGTCACCTGATGAACTCTTAAAAACTATCAATACCACAGGGTCTCATACCCAGAGATTCTGATGAACTAATCTGGCTGAAAAGTAAGGGGAGGGGTGGTTGTAAAAAATTTTCTTTCAGGTGGTACATTTGAGCAACCTCCTCCTCTTCCATCTATGTATTTGAGCCCCTTTTCCTAGAGTCCACCAAACATGTGGAAGAAAGCCATGTAGAAAGTCCATTAAGATAATCTAGAGGCTGAGAATCACTTGAACCCAGGAGGTGAAGGTTGCAGTGAGCCACAGTTATGCAACTGTGCTCCAGCCTGAGCAACAGAGCGAGACTCCATCTCAAAAAAAAAAAAAAGAAAAAGAAAAAGAAAAAAAAAAACTAACAACTTTGTCCACATCTGTACTTCCCCTCTGCCTTCTGATTACAATGAAGGACGTGCTCATGCATCTTCAATAAGGCTCATTCCAGAATCTGTGCTTGGAGTCACAGTGCTTCCTACTTTCTTGGCATCTCCCTATAGTCATAAGTCTTGCTTTTCTGTATCTTCAATTTCTTCTTCTACCATCAGCCTTAAAATACGCTGAAAGTTCTCCCATCCCCCTCCTCACCTATAGCTCCTCTCTCTCTTTTTTTTTCCCCTTGCCATCACTTCCTCACTTCTCAATCTTTTGCAATACAGCTTTGGCCTCCAATTCAAATGAAACTGTTTCCACCAAATGCACTAACAACCTCTCTGTCACCAAGTCCCATGGACATAATTTAGGCCTAATCATACTTAAACTTTTGCAGCATCTGACATTGCTGACTCTCTCCTCCTTAAAACACTATTCTCTTTGGCTTCCACGACACCACCCCTTCTTTTGGCCTCTTTTGGATCCTCCTTTCCCACTGCAGACTCTTCTTCCTTTGATCATTCCATATAGGGTGATATTCCTCAATTTACCAGTTCCATGATAAGATTCTGTTATAGGCCCTCTTCTCTCTTACTTTATACTTTTCCCCAGGCAGCTTCATCTATTCGAATGATTTCAGTAACTATTTAAAAGCTGAAGATTCCTAAATCTGTATATTCACCTCTATTCTGAACTTCAGACCCTACATATCCACCTACCTAAATGATCCACATCACCCAAAATCTAACATGTTCAAAACTGAGCATACAGTTTTTCCTTCAAAGCCTGTTCCTTCTACGCTGTTTTCAATCTCATGGAACAATAACCTTACTTAGTTACCAAAGAAAGTGAGACATCAGCCTTGACTCCTCCTTCTCCCTTAGCCCCACTCCCTATCCTGCCTCGTAAGTAATCAAATTGTAAGAATTCTACCCCCTAAAAAACCCCTCACAGCTATGTAATTCTATCTCCACTACATCTTAATCTCAGCCATTGTCATCTTTTCCTTAGATTACTGCAATAGCTTTATAACCAGTTTCCCTATCTCTAACTTGAGCAACCCTCCAATGGATTTTCCACACTGCTTCTAATGAGAAATCTTTCTAAATTGCAAATTTGATCCTGTTACATCTCTGGGTAACTTCTCAGTGGCTTTCCACAGTCTTTTGGATCAAGTCCAAACAACTAACTCTGGCTTACATGGCCTTTTGGGATCTGGCTCATGCTTACCTCTCTCTCTGGTCTTGTCGCTTAGTGCCCTTCTTTCTCACACTCTCTATTCCAGGGCCACTGAACTTTTCTGTCCCTGAAAGCATCAGCCTTTCTCTTGCTTCTTGGCCTTCACACATATATTTTATTCTGTGTGAACACTTTTCTTCTCTTTTTTTTTTTTTTTTTTTGAGATAGAGTCTTGCTTTGTCACCCAGTCTGGAGTACAGTAGCAAAATCATAGCACACTGTAATCTTGAACTCCTGGGGTCAACCAATCCTCCTGCCTTGGTCTCCAAAAGCACTGGGATTACAGGCTGTCTACTCCTTTCCCAGCCTCTTCAGAGAAATACTTCAATATCACTTCCTCCAGGAAGTCTTCCCTGACTCACCTATCCCCCAAAAAACAAACCAAACCAAACATGGGTTAAGAGCATCATCTCCTCTGCACTTCTATAGCACCCTGCACTTCCCCATCAAAGCATACAAATGCTGTTCTGTAGCTGCTTGTCTGTCTTCCCTGTCTGCCCCTTACGTCATAGGCTTCAAGTGAACAAGAATCTCTTGCACTCCTTCAACTACAGCAATTCTATGACCTGAAACAGTGCTCAACAAAATGGTAGAGGGCTAAAAATTCTTTTGAGTAAATATGTAATAAATCACATCAGTTGTATGGAGTAGAGTGGCTGGAAATGGCATTACAGAAGACGTGGTATGTGAGTTGGGACTTAAGGCCTGGGCAGTCTTGGACAAATAGAGATGAGGGAAAGCCTGTCCCACACAGAGAGGAACTCCATAAACACAGGCAAGAAAGACATGCCTCCAAGGTCAGGCTCATGAGGGTACATGAAGGAGATCAAGAAGAATGTAAAACTGGAAAGATAGATTACAGATCCACATATTTGAATTATGCGCCAATTATTTTTCAACTCTATTAAAATGATAGCCAAAATGTTACCAAGTAAACTCCATAATGTACCGAAGATGCACCAATACAGTTTTTCCTAAATAAAACAACTAAAATATTCTGTGTTTATGGTGCCAAACTTAAAGCATTTTTTTACCTTGTTCTTTTTCAATGTATCCAAATCATGAGCAGTGTCTTGTGACCCTAGAAAAAATAAATGATACCACCTTGAACATAAATATAATCATCTTGACCTTTTATATAAATTTGTACAGCCATTCTGTTATTAAAAAAAAAAAGACAAACAACTTGGAAGGACCTTAGTCCAACTTTCTGAAGGCCAATTTGATAAGAGTCATCCTACATAAACTCTTAGACTCTGAAATCCTACTTCTAAAAATTTGTCCTAAAAGTTACAGATGTTGCAAAGATTAGCTGTAAGAATGTTCACCATAGTATTGTTTGTAATATAAACAAAACAAAAACAAAAGAACAGCAAAAGCCCAATAGCTGTTGCATTAAATAAAAAATGGTACAATTGCGTAGTGAAATACATACAGCCATTACCACCATTAGAAATAAGAAACGTAAGCCTGAACAACATTGTGAGACTCTCTCTGTAGAAAAAAAATTTTTTTTTAAATTAGCCAGGCGTGGTAGTGTGTGCCTGTATTCCCAGGTATTCAGAAGGCTAAGGCAGGAGGATCCCTTGAACCTAGGAATTTGGGGTTACAGTAAGCTATGGTTATGCCACTGCACTCCAGCCTGGGTGACACAGCAAGAAGAAGAAAGAAAAGGAAAAGGAAAAGAGAAGAAGGAGAAAGGGAGGGAGGGAGGAAGGGAGGGAAGGAGGAAGGAAGGAAGAAAAGGAAGGGAAGGAAAGCAAAGAAAGAGAGGGAGAGAAAGAAAGAAGAAATGTGGTCAAATATTTATAGCATGTAAACATGTTCTTGGCCAGGAGTGATGGCTCCTGCCTATAATCCCAGCACTTTGGGAGGCTCGGACAGATAGATCACTTGAGGTTAGGAATTCAAAACCAGCCTGGCTAACATGACAAAACCCCATCTCTACTAAAAATACAAAAATTAGCTGGGTGTGGTGGTGCACACCTGTAATCCCAGCTATTCAGGAGGCTGAGGCATGAGAATTGCTTGAACCTGGGAGGTGGAAGTTGCAGTGAGCCAAGATCGTGCCATTGCATTCCAGCCTGGATGACAGAGCAAGACTCCATCTCAGAAAAAAAAAAAGAAAGAAAGAAAGAAAGAAAAATGTTATCAATGTATCTGGTGATAAAAGCAGGTTACAAAATACTATCATCCATTTTTGTAACAAAAAATATGTATGTGCTTAAAAAATGGACAGGAAGTATATATAGAACAAAATGTTAATAGTGGGGTTGCAGGTGATTTTTTTTCTTCTTTATGCTCATTCTGACTTTTTACAATAAACATCTCTTTATTTTGTAACTTAAAAAAGGATATTACAAAAACCATACACCCACAAGACGACTTCGTGCCAGTCGGTTTGGGAACACCCAGTAGCTTAGAGCAAATGCTGTTGGCCTGCAGGATCCCACCCACACTCCATGTACCACTAGGGCTGTGCCCTTCTACAATCTTTCTGTCACAGCCGGCTTCCCAGATCTCCCACACTTGGAAACTGGCTCTAGTTAATAAGCAAGTTCATATGGAGAATAACTAGTTCAAATAAAGTGAGTTTCACAGTTTAAAGATTTCAAGCATTTTACTTTCCTGAATTAGGTTCTATTTCATAAACTTTTTTTAAGCTACGTATCTGGGAATTCAGCCAACTTTTTAAATGTGATTTTAGGTAGCAGAAAGGCCAGCAAGTATGCTGTTTGGCCAATATCCTCTTGATAATACCAAGCTTACAGGTTCCTTACTGAACTCACATTCAGCTTTATTCTACTTAAAAGTTAGCCTATCAAAATATTAACATTTGTTAAAGCTGAATGGTGTATACATAATGGTCTATTAGTTTCTGTAATTTTCTACAAATTTGAAATACTTCATTTCTTTAAAAAATTCTGTTTTCTAATGTAGAAAGCCCTAACCAACTCCAGGGGAAAAAATAGGTTCAAATAATTGAAACTTGGTGGTTTAGTCAGGCGCGGTGGCTCATGCCTATAATCCCAGAACTCTGGGAGGCCAATGCAGGCAGATTGCTCAAGCCCAGGAGTTCAAGACTAGCTTGGGCAACATGGTAAAATCACATCTCTACAAAAAGTACAAAAAAATTAGCCAGGCATGGTGGTGTGCACCTGTAGTCCCAGCTATTCAGAGGCTGAGGTGGGAGGATCGCTGGAGCCTGGAAGGTGGAGGTTGCAGTGAGCCAAGATTATGCCACTGCACTCCACTCTGGATTTATTTTGAGACCCTATCTCAAAATAAATAAATAAATAATAAATATCTATCTGTCTATAATATATAATTTTCAAAGCCTAGGACAAAAATGCTATCTAAAATCTTTCATCCATTCTTTAAATGGTTCAAGGGCCTATGTAATATTTTTTAAATGCAATCATTTTTTAGAGTTTATAAACTAAAAAAGATTACATATTTACAACTCTTTGTTTTCTTTATTCACTACCAAAACCAAAAGTTGTTTGGCATGCGATGCTGGGAAGAAGCTGTGTCGCTTTGAGGAGGTGAAGGAAGCTCTTAGAACCAACCTGCAAACAACCCCAGTCTCCCAGACATAAACTAAGTCTGGTCAGAAACAACTCTTTCAACATTCATGTAGAAGAACTGTAGGTGGAACCACCCACGGGTCCTTCAGGAATGAGGCACTTGTAATTAGGCAGAAAAAGGTGCGCTTTCAGAAGAGGGGAGGTTGTTCCTGATGAAAGTATTCCATTTCCTGGTCTATTATTAGGGCTAGTTTCAGAAGTTCCTCCCAGGACTCTCCCACTATCCTGGGGAGGTTCCCAACCCCAATCTCAGAACACTACCTTGATCAGTTCACTTTGGATAAGTCCACAAATAATAATAATAGTAATAAGCAAAGTTCATGAAGACCCTAAATTGGTGAATGATATATGAAAATTCTACCATAATTATTCCAAGCCATGATTACTACAGTGGAAGCCAAAATAAATGAAAAATATGCCGCGGCATATTTTCTTTCCTAGATATGGTGAGCAAGGCCTAGGTGAACTTTTCAGATTACCTAAATAACTCAATTTTTCACTGTAAATGTCACAAGAATATGGTATAATTTTTCACGGGGCTGCAGAAACTAGTTAGAGACATTTATTTGGTGAATTTAAAGATAGCCTATGTAACAATTCATATAATATTTAATAACATATGTATACTGCAATTGATTTGCATCAAAAACCTTTTACAACAACCACCACCTCAGGAGGATCCTATGACATAAGCAGATACTGTTACTTCATCTTTACAGATGGCTTTTTGGAGGACCAGAAAGGATAAATGGCTTGCACCAGCTAATCTAGTAAATTAGGGGCAGAGCAGGACTGAAAACTTGGTCTATGTGAGGCAGCCTCGTATAACAATGGACAGCAGGAGTCCATCAGACTTGGGCTTGACGCCTAGCTCTGTTACTTACTAGGTGTGTTACCTTGTGTAAATTATTTCACCAACTTTAAATCCTGGTTTCTATTTGTAAAACAAAGCTGATAATCCCTACTTCACAGGATTCTGCAAAGGAATGAGACACTAGGTGAACAATACCTGGGCTATTTGTCAGTCTTCTCTCTATTCAAGAATGCCTTCGCAGCATAGTGACACGTCATTTAGTCTTCCCAAGTCTTAATTTCTCTACTCATAAACAGAAATAATTCAGACGTACTTGAAAACATTCTTGACTATTTTTTTAAGAACACCATACCATATTCTTGCCAAATTAACAAGTTTGTACTTTTATGACCTTGCTCCGTTTGCTATTTGTGAACTATGCTTGTATAGGGACTCAGTATCCATAATGCGAAATAAATCATAAAATCTTCAGACTCATAGCTATAAAATAAAAGATCTCCTTCTCTTAAACACTCCAAAAACAGGCACCATGAACAGACGTGGCCACAGGAGGCATGTATTCCGCACGGTTTGTAAGAGCTGCGCAGGCCAGCAAGCACAGGACTATTTCAAGTATTAACTTTTCTATAACTTTAACCATTGTCACCTGTAGTTCTGCCTGATACATTCTTTCTTTTTTTTTTTTTTTAAGCTGTATCTTTTATAATCCGAGAAAACACAACATCAATGTGTTATTCTCCAGAGAAGTTAGAGAAACGGGAAGAAAGCTTTGCTAAAATTCAAATATGCGGTGCCAAGTGCTACTAGAATAGCATCTACGCTTCTTATGGGTATACTGTGAGGCAGAAACGGCTGTAGCTGGCTAACGGAAGTTCCGTATCCAAAAAAGGAAACAGTTCAGCTTTTCGGCAGGATAGCTGATAATACAGACTATTACGCATAAAGGGGGAAAATGAGAACGTAATCTGGCTAAAAGGACTCAATGATTCAGTGGCAAGTCGATATACTCACCTAGGAGCAACCATGGCTTAATAACGCCAACCTGCAAGTCCGAGCTAAGGTCCTGCACATAACCACAACCACCCCCACTGCTCGGCTCTACTTCTTCCACAACATGAATTCTGGCATCTTTCCATGTTTCTATAATTTTCTTTCCAGTTAGCGTTGTCACCCTGGTGCATTGCTTCCTGAGATTATTCCGGGAGAATGCTTTAATTTCCTGGTTAAGGGAGTGCATTACATGAGCAGAGGCTGGGAACAAATACAAACAAATCCAGCAGGCACAGAGAAGGGCTGAACTGCTAGTCCCTTATTGCCCAGGTAACAGAGACAGCCTCAGAGGTGCTCGCCCATCCACGTAACAGCAGCAGCCACAGGCCGAGAGACGTAGTCGTCCAGCTCCGTTTCTCCCAGCGATGCAATGTAAGGCGAAATTTGATTGGTCATTGAGACACAAGTGCCGATTGGATGCTGTTTCTTCTTCCTGTCAGCCAGAAATCTACATTTTCCCGAAAAGCTCAAGGGATCCACTGGGGGAGACTTCTTATTGTTGCTATTTAAATTTAGCTTTATAATACACGCAGAATGGTAAAATATAAGACTTCGTTGGAGAAAGGGATGACATGTCCTCGTTCTTTAAAGGCAGTGATTTTCTGATATATTCTGTTAGTGTCACGGCAGCGACCATAGACGATCCGGGCTGACCTGTGTATCGCTACCGCTTGAATGAGACCGGCGGAGTCACCTTGCAAATCATCCTATGTCTCAAAGCCTTTCCTGCCCGTCTGCTTTTAGGCTAGTCCAGGAGGGCTAGAGCGGACTTTGTTTCTCGCTTCCGGTATCCTTCATACATTCTCCTTTTGCTGTTAATGCAAGAGGAACGTTTACTAGATAAAGTTGTTTTGCATATTTGTGAGGCAACAATTTAAATAAACTGGGAAAAAAGATATCTTTTTAAAATTCATGCTCATATATGTAGATAGACAAGAGCTTAAAATTTATGTATTTTATGACTTTCAGCCTACGTTTTCATTTCATACAGTAAATATACATCCTAAAGAGGAATTACAGCAAGTCCCTCCATATGAAGAATTGAGAAAATCAATTGTGTCAGCATCCAAATTTATAAAACAGATAAATAAATTATAGAACGATGATTCTGATTACCAAAAAACGTTTTGCAAAAGAAATCACAAGATTCCTTTAAAGAGAAATTTTTCAAACCCCTTTTAAAGTAAATGTAATTTTAAATGAATTTCAACACAATGTATAAACACATATATAAAATGAAGAAGTTGCACTTATGAAAACTTTTCTTCCAATACCACATATTAAAATTTGTGTTGTTGTTGAAACTTTCTGACATAAAATTCAACTGTTATGGATTGACTATTTCTGTCCCTTCGAAATGCATAAGTTAAAGATTTAAACCTCAAGGTGATGGTATTTAAATTGGACTTTTAGGATGTAATTTAGAATTAAGACTAACACCCTAGGGTAGAGTCCTCATGATGGGTTTAGTGGCTTCAGGAGAACTGAAAGAGATGTTCCAGCTCCCCTGTATGGACCAAGGAAAGACAGTATGAGGACATAAGAAGAAGCTGGCTGTCTGCAAGCCAAGAAGAGAGCTCTCACCGGGAACTGAATAAGCCAGCACCTTGATCTTGGACTTCTCAGCCTCCAGAACTGTAAGAAAATTTATTTTGGTTGTTTAAGCAACATAGTTTATGGCATTTTGTTAGAGCAGCCTCAGCAGACCGAGATATAAACCAAATGTCTCCCTCTTGGAAAGAGAACAGGCCTGGTACAGTGGCTCATGTCTGTAATCCCAGCACTTTGGGAGGCCAAAATGGGTGGATTGCTTGAGCCCAGGAGTTCGAGACCAGCCTGGGCAACATGATGCAACCTCAACTCCACTAAAAAAATACAAAAAAATTAGCCATGTTTGGTGGCACGTGCCTGTAGTCCCAGCTACCTGGGAGGCTGAGGTGGGAGGAACACCTGAGCTAAGGAGTTTGAGGCTGCAGTGAGCCATGATTATGCCACTGTACTCCGGCCTGGGCAACAGAGTAAGACTCTGTCTCAAAAAAAAAAAAAAAAAGAAAAAGAAAAAAATATATATAAGCTCAGGCTATCTGCAGGACATCCTAAAATGAAAAACTGAAGAAACTATTTGCATTTTTAAAACAACAATCACAGGCTCATCAAAAAACATCTCTAACCATAAATCAATCCATATATTTATCATAATAATGATCAAAAAAATAAGTACTATTAAGCATTTACTGCATGGTAGGCACTGCGCTTATAAACAATTTTAGATTCTTAGTATTATCACTTAGCTGTTTAACAATGCTATACATGCATTATCCTATTTGACCTCACCCCAACCTCTTATGTACATACTATTATAATCATCTTCATTTTACAACTGGGAAAAACTCAGGTACAGAGAAAGCATATCACATAGTCTACATTTCACAGCTCATAAGTTTAGAATCACAAACAAAACCTATGTTTGTTTCCGTCCAGTGCCTTAATTCTTAGTTACTGTAGAATACCACCCTGCTTCCAAAATAATTACAGTTAATGAATATTTATTGAGATTCAACTATGTGCCTGGCACTGTGACAGTCATTGGAAATATAGCAATGAATAAAAACAAAGTCTCTTATTTCATGGATCTTACATCCAAGTGGAGGGAGCAAGAAACAAATATACATATACCGATGTTGGGTCACAATTTAAATGCTAAAAAAAAAACATCAAGCAAAATAAGGGAACGGAGTGAGAGGGCAGTGTGTTATTTGCTTTAGGGTGGTAAGAGAAAGCACTTCTGATTCAGTGAAAATTGAACAGAGACTTGAATAAAGTGCAGAAGCCAGCCCTGTAGATATATGGGGGAATAGCTTCATAGCCAAGTGTCTAAATCTTCTGACAGATTTGGAATGTCTATGCCAAGTGCTGAAACAGGAGTGCACTAGTAGGAGATGGAGAGGTTCAAGAAACACCTGGGTAGCTAACTTGGCTTTAAGGGAGTGAATTAAGGGAAAGAGTTGGAGGAGATGTGGACAGAGAGAAAGGATAAGAATTTTGGCTTGTATTCTGAGTGATGGGAAGCCACAGGAAGGAAATAGGGAAAGTAGTCATATGATGGATCCTGTGTTGTGCTACCCAGATCCTTCTTCAATGAATACCTATTGTCTCCACTACCGGGTGTACTATTGGCTGACTGGTAGGTAACAATCCCTTCAGGGACTGCTGCAGCTGCAGAGGACTGCTTTGCTGAGGTTGTGTCCCTTATGGAATAGACCACATCCATGGCTGACTGATGAGGGAGCATAAAGATCTGTGTGTTAGCCCAATTTGGAACAATTCTGAGGAGCCATTCTAGCTCTGAAAAGCTAACATGTGGTTGGCTAAGCCTGTCATTGGATCTGTATAGCCACTTAACTTCTGTGTCTACCCAGTTCTGCTTTCTTCTTCCCTTCCACAAGTGTTGATCCCAAGGGCACTCTTTGAAAAGTCTTACATGCTAAACTCTACCTCAGTCAGCTTCCAGGAAACTTAACCTATGACAAGTGACATGACATTGCTTATGCCATAGGAGGGTCTTCCTGGCTACTATAAGGAAAGGGAGCTCCCTTTCCTGCTTGTTGTTAGGAGACTACTACAGAGGTCCAGATGGAAGATGACAGTTGCTTGGGCTAAAATGGCAACAGAAGGAAGGTAAGAAGTAGTCGGATTCTAGGGACACATGAGAATCATGCCAAGAGAATCTGTTAGTAGATTGATGTGGAGTGATTTGGATAATTCCAAAGTTCTTAGCCTAAGCAACTGAAGAATAGATTTGCCAGTTACCAAGAAAGAGGTGATGTGAATATGAGAAGTTTGTGACTTGTTAAGTTTAATACTCCTGTTAGTCAGCCAAATGGAGATGTCAATTAGTCAGCCAAATGGAGACATCAAGTGGGCAGCTATACATATGAATCTGGACTTCATAAGAGAGATATCTGCTGGAAATGCAACTTCTGGAGTAATCAGCTTAAAGATGCTATATAAAGCCATGGAGCTGAATGAGATGGCCTGGTAGTGAGGGTTGATAGAGAAGCCTCATCTATACCAAAGTGACTAACAAGGAGAGGTTAGGGAGTTGAATGAAAATGAATGAGAGAGAGAGAGAGTTCTGAGAGTACAAGTAAAGAAAATGTATTAAAGTGCAGAGTGTGATCAGCTGTTTCATATGCTGTTGATAGTGTTGGGTAAGATGAAGACTGTGCACTATAATGGATTTAAAGACGCCTTCAACAAGAACAGATCTATGTCCCAGGAATATAAAAACAGTATCTGATTCAATCCCTATGATAACCTAATAAAATTGGTATCCATTCTCTTTTTATAAAGAAGGACATTTAACTTGGAACCTAAGGACACAGCCTTTGGTCACACAGTTCAGATCTGTTAGGTAACAGATCTGAGTAACAAGGTTGAACACAGTTCTATCTTACTCATGAGCCCATATTCTATACACCACATCATTCTGTAGAGGATGGGTAGAGTTGTTGGTTATATACTGATAGCTGCAGTCCCTGCTGGTAATACTAGAATATTAATGTCTGCAGTAACATTGGTTGTTAATATCCTGACATCTAGACGCTATCCAACTCATATCAACATTTTGCAGAAGAACCAAGGTGCAGAAAAGTAAACTGATTTGCCCAAGTTCACATCCCTTATAATCCCAGGTCCCTTGACTTAATATACAATGCTTGTTCCACTGCACTGTATGGCTTTCCAAAAAGTCCCTTAAGGGCAAAAACCCTTTACACAAAGCTAGCTTCGAGTGCTGGCAGGAGAGAAATAAGAGGCAAAATGTTATTAGACCCAGGCCAGAGGGAGAGGGCAGCATTCCACCCCTGGAGAAGGCATTGCCTATGCTGACACGTGAATGGTAAGAGATTGTCCTGCAAGAAAGGGCATATCCTTACAAGGGCTAAAGGGCCTTGGATCTGAGGAAAAGGGAAAAGTGTGAAGTGAATACATCCTAGAATATGTTCCTGTGTTCTCCGTATAATTCTTCTCTCCTAACAGATTTAGAGTGTCTATGTGAAGTGCTATGCTAGACATTTTCTGAGCATTACCTCTAATCCTCACAAAATCCCACTTTTAGATAAAGTGGCTAAATTGCAATGAAGTAGTAAGCACTGGATCTTGTATACTTAGTCTCAGGTCTGTTGAATTCGTTAATTTTAAAAATTTTTTTGAGACTGAGTCTTGCTCTGTCGCCCAGACTGTAGTACAGTGGTTTGATCTCAGCTCACTGCAACCTCCACCTCTTGACTTCAAGCGATTCTCCTGCCTCCATCTCCTGAGTAGCTGGAATTACAGGCAAGTGACACCATACCTGGCTAATTTTTGTATTTTTTTTTTTTAGTAGAGACAGAGTTTCTCCATGTTGGCCAGGCTGGTCTGGAACTCCTGACCTCAGGTGATCCACCCACCTTGGCCTCCCAAAGTGCTGGGATTACAGGCGTGAGACACCGCACCCGGCCACTGGTCTGTTGAATTCTAAGATCCACTTTTATCCCACTACATTACATGCTCTGACATGTTACGTAATAAAATCTGCCATGGGAATATGTAATCCTCATTAATTCGGATGTGACTTATATGGGTAAAAATCATTTATAAATAATCAAAAATCCTCCCCTTTGCATTACAATTTCTAGCCTGAGTTAGTAATCTCAATTCTACACTTCACTAAGAACATGCAGACACAGCCTGAAATGAATATAGAGAAAAACAAAATTCAGCCAAGCACGTTGGCTCACCCCTGTAATCCCAGCACTTTGGGAGGCCGAGTCGGGCAGATCACTTGAGCTCAGGAGTTGCAGACCAGCCTGGACAACATGGTGAAACCCAGTCTCTACAAAAAATATAAAAGAAGTAGTTGGGCATGATGGCACGCACCTATAGTACTAGCTATTTAGGGGGCTAAGGTAGGAGGATTGCTGGAGCCCAGGAGGTCGAGACTGCAGTGAGCCAAAATCATACCACTGTACTACAGCCTGGGTGACAAAGAGAGAGAGATCCTGTCTCAAAACAAAACAAAACAAAACCCACAAAATTCCTCTCATGATTATGGCACCTGCTTCCTGTGTGATCCTTTAGAAGACTTTTTAAAAATTTCAATTAAAACAAGTTTGAATATAAACTTTCTTCATGAATGTAATTCCTTATGTATAAATTTGTTATTAGAGTATTTTGATTACACAACATTTTTTGGTTATATATGTGTGATTTTGTATATATGTGTGTGTGTGTGTGTGTGTGTGTGTAGAGAGAGAGAGAGAGAGAAAGAGAGAGAGAGAGAGAGAGAGAGAGATGGAGTCTTGCTCTGGCGCACAGGCTGGAGTGTAGCGGCGCAATCTTGGCCCACTGCAACCTCCACCTCCCAGGTTCAAGTGATTCTCCCACCTCAGCCTCCCAAGTAGCTGGGACTACAGGCAAGCACCACCATGCCCGGCTAATTTTTTGTATTTTTAGTAGAGATGGGGTTTCACCATGTTGGTCAGGCTGGTCTCCAACTCCTGGCCTCAGGTGATCCACCCCCCTCAGCCTCCCAAAGTGCTGGGATTATAGGCGTGAGCCACCAAGTCCAGCCTTAGTTATTTATATTATA